GGACTTTCACATCTTCCTGGGCACTGAGTTATTCTGTAAAACCATTCATTGTTAATTTGCATGTTTTGTGTCTCCTCAATGCTGATGTGATTGAGTTTTTTTAACATGACTTTGTCAAAGGTCCTATAGTATGTAATTAAATATCTTTAAAATCCTGTGCATTTCTCAGAGATTTATTTTCTGTTGAAAACTTCAGTGTAGTTTGGGTGATCTAGCATAACAATACAATATCATGATTATTATACATTAATGCCCCGGAAAGCTTAAACACTGTTTGGGAAAAAAGTATGGAAATGCCATTTGGACTCTGACTGATTAAGCAGTGTGTACATGGAGACTTGATGAGGACTTAAAAATCAGCTGAACCTGTTGTGTTTACCGCAGTGAAGCCAACTCCCAATGACTCACATACCCTTCGGCTGATATGCCTTGCCTTGAATCCCTTGTGCCGTGCACCTTAAATGCGATGCAAATGACTATGTTCTCTGAATTCGTATGAATTAGCCACCTCGTAAAATAGGAATTGGTCTTAGAAGAGCGTTTGTATCAAGCGATCCAGCAGCGTTTGACTTTTTTTCAAAGGTTTTAGTTTAATGTTTCATTGAATGTAACTACACTTTGGTTTTAAACTTGGACTCATTAGAAATGAGACTGCTTACAGACCTTTCTTTCTCTTCTTCCTTCATTTACAATGACTGGTGCTGAATCTCACTGTTGAATTACACATATAATGTACATGATCATGGTTAGTCCTCAAGTGCTTTTTTTCATAAATCTGTGATCCACTGAGAAAGTCCAGTCGGAGCAGAAGTAAAGGCATCTTTGTGATAGAGATCGGCATTCATTGATATTCTACAACATATCTGAAATGTGAGCTCTAACAGTGTCCGTCAACTTCATCGAGTGTCAACAACAGTTCCGTGTTGAAGCTCACTTCCCGTTCATAGTCAAAGCAAAGGGCTGGTGTGCAGTTACTGCCGGAAAGCGATTGAGCGGAGCCTCCAAGAAACGCTGGTATGCGAGATCTCTGTCAGAAGTCTGTTGAGAGTGAATTGTTCCTCATATGAATCTTTTGTGTCATGTGCTCCAGCAGGTTGAAGCTTGTGTTGTGTTCAGAAATAGTAGGTGAGTCAGCGCACAAAATCGAGTTGACTCCAGATAAACAGATTTTTGTATGTTCTTTGAGTCAAACGACTGAGTTGACATGCTGCTGCAGGGCTCTTTATACATGACATGTTCGGGCGTTAGACTCGGGAAATTTAGTTCAGAAGTTTCCATTTTTTGGGATCACTGACATTATTTGAGAACAGGCCGCCTCTTAAAAGTACTTTATCTCTTGTAAGGTGTTTAACTACAAGTTTTCTTTAATCATACCATATCAAGTTTTACATCAAATTTGAGCTCACAAGAGTTTTGTCTGTTCACAAGTTTTCATTTGTGGACTTCAGGCATTTCTACACTGGATCTAATTCTGTCACTTAAGATCTTAAAGCTAAATATACAGATACAAAACAACAACACAAAAGAAACATATGTGTTTTAGAAGTATTTTATAGCATGAACTCACAATTATACAGAGAATCAATATTGTCATGTAAACTTCCCTTTTAATTATTTTACTCAGCTAAGTGAGCATACAGTTGTGGAGGGAACGAACATGATCAACCAGAACTCAATGCATATTTATTTTAAATTTTAGTTTAATGTTTAATTGAATGCAACTACACTTTGGTTTTAAACTTGGACTCAGTCAGTTACCTATTAGAAATGAGACTGCTTACAGACCATTCTTTCTCTTCTTCCTTCATTTACAATGACTGGTGCTGAATCTCTCTGTTGAATTACACATATCATGTGCATGATCATGGTTAGTCCTCAAGTGCTTTTTTTTCATAAATCTGTGATCCGCTGAGAAAGTCCAGTCGGAGCAGAAGTAAAGGCATCTTTGTGTTAGAGATCGGCATTCATTGATATTCTACAACATATCTGAAATGTGAGCTCTAACAGTGTCCGTCAACTTCATCGAGTGTCAACAACAGTTCCGTGTTGAAGCTCACTTCACGTTCATAGTCAAAGCAAAGGGCTGGTGTGCAGTTACTGCCGGAAAGCGATTGAGCGGAGCCTCCAAGAAACGCTGGTATGTGAGATCTCTGTCAGAAGTCTGTTGAGAGTGAATTGTTCCTCATATGAATCTTTTGTGTCATGTGCTCCAGCAGGTTGAAGCTTGTGTTGTGTTCAGAAGCAGTAGGTTAGTCAGCGGTTAGTTAGGTTAGTGTTCAGTGCCGAAGCTTGCTCATGTTCACAGCGGGGCCGGCGGGGGTCAGAATTCGGCACAACAGCTTTGGCACTGACCTGTTGCACACACCCGATTTTGTGCGCCGACTCACCTGCTGCATCTGAGCACAACACAACACAGGGGTGGGGCTTCAGAAATCTCGGGTTTGGGAGGGGGTGGGGCTTCAGGAATCTCGGGTTTGGGAGGGGGTGGGGCTTCAGGAACTCGTCATGGGAGGGGGTGGGGCTTCAGGAACTCCGTATGGGGG